AACAGACTAATACTCATTGAGAGATGTGTTTAAGCTAAAGGATGAGGTTTTATGGTGTTACATTTACTGGAAAGTATGGGAATAAGTAGAGTAGATGCCAATTAAGTTGGATGGAACAGACTAATACTCATTGAGAGATGTGATTAAGCTAAAGGATGAGGTTTTATGGTGTTACATTTACTGGAAAGTATGGGAATAAGTAGAGAAGAGATGATTCCAGAATTTTGCAAATCCAGAGGGCTCAGGATGGAGCTAGACTGTGGTCATAGATTGAGTTACAGTGAAAGCTTACTAAGTCAGATAAATAGATGCCACATGGATATCCAGGGTAAGGCCAGAGGAATGAAGGAATGTGGGTACAGGTGTTTATGGTAAAGATGTAAAAGGTTAAAAGTTCTGGAGAGGAAAATTTTGGTTAGCCTCTCATCACAGAGCATTAGAGTGGAAGAGAGCAGTCCTTGTTTTCCTAGTAGTTTGGATTGGTTGATTAGTTCATTCATTTGTATACTGTAACCCAATTCTTGTCACTCACAGAGTTAGCACCTGTAGTATTCCCTCTTTCCCAACATGACACAATTTCCCTCTCTACTGTATCATTCCCATCAAAATAAAAATAAACTATCACCTATCTTAAAAATACTCTGTTCGTTTATTTCTTTGTTCTCCTTTATCACAAAACTCAAGAAAAGGTTTTTTATGTTCGCTGTCTCCATTTTCTGTCTCACATTCTCTTTTGAACCTCTTCAGTCAGGATTTTGACCTTTCTATCCCACTAAACAAGCAATAAGTTATTGATTTATTAGTTTATTATAAATTATTGCTTTTATCACTTCCTAGACAAAGCTGTCAATCTTATTGCTGCTCCTTTAAAAGTAATTAGTTGTTTTTTTCCCCCTCCTCTGTATGCTCTTAAGATTTTTTTCTGGTTCAGTTTATCATCGTTCCTAGACAAAGCTGTCAATCTTATTGCTGCTCCTTTAAAAGTAATGAGTTGTTTTTTTCCCCCTCCTCTGTATGCTCTTAAGATTTTTTTCTGGTTCAGTTTATCATCAGTTTTTCTATGGTGTGCTTAGGTGTGGTTTTCTTTGTATTTATTTTGCTTGGGGTTTGTAGAGCTTCTGGAAAAATTGGGCTTATATTTTTTGTCTATTTTATGCTATCAAAGACATTAGTGGGCAGTTGGTGGATATATATAATTACTGTAATTTAGATAATAATTCTATGTCAGTGATAATTTCCTGATTTTGATAGATGAAATCTAAATAATTACTGTAATTTAGATAATAATTCTATGTCAGTGATAATTTCCTGATTTTGATAGATGTAGTGTAGTTACATAGGAGAGTATCCTTGCATATAGGAAGTATGTATTGAAATATTTACCAACAAGGGTATCATAACTGTAATTCTGAAATGTTTCAGAAAAAAATGTGTGAGGGTATTTTGGTTATTCTTTGCTAATTTGTAACTTTTCTGTAGTTGGAATTTACTTCAAAATAAAAATGATATCTATCTAACAATTCTCCCACATAGCCACACCCATTTGTTTACATATTGTCTGTGGCTGCTTCACATAAAATAGCAGAACTGAATAATTGTCAGACCATATGGCCTGCAAAGCCTAAAATAAAAAGTATTTATTATCTGACCCTTTGTAGAAAAAGTTGGCTGACTCCTGCTCTAGAGTATAGTGACTTTTTTTTCCCCCTGAAGTTATAGTACTCGTTAATAAGTTCCTTCATGTGAGAATAATGTGTTGCTTTTTCTTCACATGTTCCCAAAATAAACAAGCTATTAAAATCAACTATCAGGTGAGGAGAACCCAAAATGGAACACAAATAGTAACACATTACAAGTGAGTAAGGTAACCACACTGAAGGGTGTGAAGATGAGAACTAATTTAATGATACTGGAAAACAGTCCTTTGGACACTGTAAGGCTGAAGACAAGAAGTGTACAGAAATGCTTTAATCTAGTTGGTAAACATGTTTCTCACTGGGATATGGTTACCAAATCTGAAATGACTTTATTAAATAGATAAGTAAATATAGAAAATGAGAGCTAGGTTTCTTACTGTTGGAGAAAGATGTTTCAAATAAGGAAAGGGGAAGGCTAAAATGAACCCAGTTGTGTAGGATTAGGATCAGAGATATCACAGTATCTGTGATACAAATAGATCCAGATGTATGTATTGTGGGTTAGTGTGCATACATATAATAGTTCCTATTGTCTCATTCTGTGGGTTAACTGGGTGGTTCTTGTGATGTGAGGTCAGCTGGGACGCTGGGACAACAGCAGTTATAGGGGTGCTCAACTGGGCTGGAATGTCCAAATGGCTCACTTGTACAGTGGCAGTAGATGATATCTGTTGGCTGGGAGTTTGGCTGGGGACTGTCAACCAGAGTGCTGCCTATGTGTGGTCTCTCTGTTTGTGGCTTGGACTTCTCATGGCATGATGACTAGGTTTTAAGAGTGACTATCCTGTGAGGGAGCATTCCAAGAGACCCAGATGGAGACTGCAAAGCTTCTTATATGTGACCTAGTCTCAGAAGTTATGCAGTGTGTATTAATCTGTTTTCTGTTGCTTAGAAGATCTGAAACTGGGTAATTTATTTCTTAAAGTTATGGAGGCTGGGAATTCCAGGGTCAAGGAGTGCATCTGGTGAGGGCCTTCTTCTTGGCAGGGACTCTACAGAGTCCTTTGGCAGCACCAGGTATCACATGGTGAGGGGCTAAGCAAGAGTCCTCCTAGCATCCTCCTTTTTCACCTTATAAAGCCGCTATTACCACTCTTGTGCTAACCCGCTTATCCGTTAGCCCATTAGTCCATGAATGGATTAGTCCTCC